TAAAAGATGTATTATCTTGCTCGATAAACGCTGGATAGATTATACTCTCATTTGCAGTTTTGGACTCAACGCATGTGGAGCTACGCTCTCAGTAAGTGTGACATTCAGAAAGTGTGTAAGTTAATCCTATAATATAGACTATTATTATACATCTAAGACTAAAAACTAATATTATTTTACGTCAGTAAACATGTTGATTTGTTTGATACATATTTGAACTCGTTATAACGTTCATATTTTCTCTTATTTAAGGGTCACCAACATTCAACCTACGTAATCCTAAAAAACGTTCCTTTCTTCATACCAAATGCTTCAGCGCTACAGCACAAAACGAAAATGAAAATTCAATATTGTTGCTGGCATTTTGTATTGTAATAATAAGCAGGAGCGAATTTTGCAATGTAAGCACTCGGTGGTCACTGTACTGTCTTCGTGCGTATATTTTGTTTGTATAACGTTATTGTAGTTTGTAGTAATAATTTGTAACTAACTTTGTTTGAATAACCTCTATTTGGATGCAATATGTTTAACAGCGCAGCTCAGTTGATGTTCCTTGCGTGAAAATTATTAATATAGTGATATGTGCATAACTAATTACACAGAGCTTTAAAACATTGGAAACCGTTCGTTTATTCAGTAAAACTAAATAATGCTTACAATAAGACGCAATTTTTATCGCTACTTTATTTGACTTGAGTGCTTTATAGTTAAAAGAGTATTTAACAAATCATGAATGATTTACACTAGCTATTTTTATTCAATAACACCATTGGACTATTTGTGTGAACATTTACAAAGTTTGAAATGCGGCCAGATTTAAAAACTGTGTTTATATTCTTAAGAAAATGAGACAACTTGTGTATGCAGGGTTCCATTTCTATGATTTCAACGTGTCGGAGGGTGTACCGTTCAACTAGAAATATATTTTGAAAAGTTTGATTCCAATTAGGTTTTTCGGGTATAACATAATTAACACGATGTACCATGATATTTTGAAAAGAGATACGCCATCAACAAATGTTCTTTGGTATCTAAAAATATACGAACAGGAACAAAATGCAACATTACAGTAAAATTAAAGTAAATTTAAAAAGTGATGTCTAATTATTAACGTTAAAAATAGCATAATTGAGAATATGGTTCCAACTGGATAAAAGTGACATTGATTAATCGTATTAAGTGAGATCGAATGTCAATAATGATAACATGGATAGTATGCCCCACTATGCAAACATGTTCTCTGTGGTGACGCTACCTACTCGTTCTCAAGCAATTACGTCTTAATACTCTCACATATAGACCACAGTCTCATCCAATTCGTTTATTTTCCCATCTCCACCAGACCAACCCATAAGCATCTTAGTCATGATTTATCTATCATCTTTTGTTCCATTCCATTCCTTTCCCATGCCTTCCATTTTTGTTTATCCACTTCATAGGCGAAGGTTAATTTGATTGTTCCTTTTTCCCATTTACCATGTTTCGACTGGAACAGGGGAGTGTATTCTACTTTATTAACACTAAATTATTCAAGTGTATTTTACCTTACTTACTTACGCTAAATTATTAACGCAGCTAAAAGCGGATATCCATCAGCACTTCCCATTATCGAAATGAAGTTCCATATTAACACAATTACCCACTCTGATCAAACATATCAATTTATCTTCGTTATGAAATGTAAAAACTACGCAGTTTGTAATTTTGAAGTCTATTAATCTATTGGTTACCGTCATATCCCTCATATAAATAAATCTGTAAATGGCCATGTTCCTCATTAGTAGTTTCAATTTCAGTTTGGTTTTGACACAATGTCTCAGTAGTAATGCAGAATCTGATCCTATCATGTATTGCCAGTGCTATTATGTTTGTCGCTCATGTAGTTGCTGCCTGTTCTTCTCAGTTCACTTGTAAATTTGATTTGTTATTGTGGTCGTTTGTATTTAACTTATTGTAAGCATGCTTTAGATGAAACGATACTGAATATTTCTCAAAAGCAATGAGGGAAGGAGCTCCCGAATATAATATTGGGGCCAGCGAACTACTGATTTCAAAACGTAATTGCGTACGTCCGGTAGCTGCTCGGCGATATGGTACTGTACGCGATCGTCGGTTTGAGTCACGCACGCAACATGTTTACTTCCATTAAACATAGTATATAACATGCAGTGTATTCAGTATTATTTTAACACTGCTCAATGGTCAATGCGTTCAACTTACATGTTTGAATCAATGACTGGTTGGCGCCAGTAGTTACCCGTGCCTCTAAATTTTATATATCTGAACTAGTTGGACACATTAAGTTGGGAACATTCTACGCACATCAATCGAGTACTTCGACATACGCTGAAAATCAAGTCAACGGCATTTGAATTTCCCATGATTTGCATCCCGTCATGGCCTAACATTCAATATGCTATAGCAAAAGAGACGTTCAAATGCGTTAATTGTGTTTATGCAGTAGTATATTATATTTGACACCTGTACAGCATTCGATTATTGCAAAAATATATACATAACAACAACACGGAAAGTATTTGTTCCTAGATTATTGTTTAAACATTATTTCACTTTTATTCGAAATGTATTAATTCTTGCTCGTCTTTTGTAGAATCTGCATCTTACCTTTTACTTGAGTGCAAATTTCTAACTTGGCGGGCATGTTTGAAAGAAAAGCCCATAGCAAGAAAGTTACACTATTTTTAACCATTGTGTTCAGTTTTTGACTGAAAACACTGTGTGGCTAGGTCAGGGAGAAGCATATTGATTATAACGCAAAGTAAGCCCTCAGATGGAACGTGTTGGGGTTACGACTAATGTACTGCCTTCTAGTACACTGAATATCTTTACGTAACCACTTTTTGGCTGACACGTGTATGTTTAATATTGGCATTAACGAGCATTAGTGAACATTAATTATATGGTGAGATATACACAACTATTCACACTACGCGTCGATCCATACTTAACTCTAGCTACATTGTTTTCGTGTATACTTTGCGATATTCTCCTACTAACCTCATTTTATAAGTCGGTTCACTTTCAAACGCTCCAAAAGCTTTCCAATGTTAAGAAATAACCATATATTTATACAACTTGTTAACTTTTTTTTGATCATGGTCACTTCGCTAATCATTTCTTCTGAATGAAAACTTGCCGGAAATGAAATGTAACACACACGTTTCTGGTCTAATTGTCATCGGTGTGTGACGTGGGTCAACTATAAATAGTTTATTGGTCATATATTGCTTGACAATTAATTCCCTGGAGATTACACTGATTCGCCTTCATGTCTTATATACAGTCGCTCTACAATACTTTGTTGATGTCCCTAATAAACATTACTATTCACGTTTATTTACATGCAAATGTGTAGGCATGGTTGACAGGAAGATATGTCGTCACAATCTCGCATGCATGTACATTACGCCCGCTTCCGTACATTGTCGTGTCTTTATATAAGAGTATCCCCAAGACTTTATTCAGAGCTATAATAACATGCCGGTTGAAATATACACAATAATCTAAATTCGACGAATAATGTATTTAATTGTCTAGCACAGGAAGTAGCATTGGTTATTATTGACAATCCTTTCTATATAGTATAATGTACGAAGAAGCATTACTAGTAGGAAATGTTGAGGGGAACGTACTTCCATGTTGTAACAAACACGCTACAAATTAAATGATTGAGCCTAACAATTATCTGTATATCTGAATTCGTACATAAGGTTACCGAATTAGAATCATTGTCCATCTTTGGTTTGCTGGCTTGTGATTAACGGCAATGTTTGATATATTTGAATTTAGTTACTTGTGGGGTTGCTTGACTTGTGTCAACACTTGACATAGCTAGTACAACACCATTTTACATCAGCAACATGAGTCGATAGTATAAAAGTACTATTCAGTAGAAAACATAATTTATCATTTACACAATATAATATTACTCAATACGACTACATAGAAGACCATGTAATCAGTTGAAACGACCTTCTTGATAACGAGACCATAGTTTCAAGTTCCAATATATACTTAATACATTAAAACATAAGCATGCGATACAATGCAAATACAGTTTTAAAATAACACACACAGAACGTAAATTGCTCGACGTTATTTCATCTTTATAATTCGTCTGCGAATTGTGCCTTCGAAGCCTGTAATGTGTATTGTACTCATTTATCCTACAGCTAAATATACACTGGCTGGTCATCGACATCGGTTTTTGCATTTAATAATATCCTTAAACAATCTGATTGTGTATTCTGGTAACTTGATAAATCCTGATGATACGATGGTTGGTGTGATTATTGCCATGTGCCAACTACATTAACATATCATAGTATAAATCCCTAATCACATGCAATACTATTTTTTACTGTTTACAACACAACAACTGTATATCACAATTCTAGAATCCCATGTCATTTTAAGACCCCCCCTTTTGGATATGGTCTGAAAATCCATTGACACAAATTACGTTATACAAAGGCTTCACAATTCCAATTAAATTTCAATAACGTCTATAAAAGCTTGTGTCAAGCGTAGTTTATATCGAACGACCTTCACTGCGCAACTGTATCCAATAACATTTAGGTTATTTAAACCTCAACGGCTTGTTTGCTATACAGCATATTTGGTACAATATTGTATTACTATTGGATTATTATATTCAGCGGAAAATAGCCATATGAATCATTTATTGTTGATTGTGTCGGATCTAGAAGTATATACAATTATTGAGACTCGTTGTATTGTAAAACAGATGGGAATCCAGTTAGTATTTCCAACGCATACGTTCGTCCGCTTTTCTTTGATTTGATAATTCAATACACGGCAGTTAAACATTTATTACGTCGTATAGGCCTATTATTGGTACAGCTTTAATGGCATATAACGCATTTGCATATACATTCTATGGTGACGAATTACAATATGCTGATTTGTTTCAAAAATTATAAATCATTACATTAGTATTTCAATCGTTTATTTTTCAGTTCTGAACGTCCAAGTTTTCTTGCTCCTTGCGAAAACAACGACCTCAATTCAATGTTCTCTGATAATCGCTGGCGAAGTTATGACCACCGTCTTCGACCGAATTTCATGGGTACGTAGATGTTTATACTTTTTCTGGTTCATATATGTGTTACCAATTATATGTATATCGATGTATTTGTGAATTTGGGCTATAATGTGTAATTTTGTTGGGATTATGCATGACTTGTGGTGAAAATTTGAAATATTATTGCGGGCCGCATTAATTCGGAAAAGCATATTCAAAATCGTTAGATACTGTAAAATTTTCACTGGGTTTAAATTTCAATGATTTACCATTTCAGGCATATTCAGTGGGTTTTACATTCACGGTTTCGTCATTTAGATAATGTGTTCTATGGTAAATTTTACATATTCACTGGGTTTTAATTTAGCGCATTTTCCAGTCAGCGAAATAAGCTAAATTAAAACCCAGTGAATAATTACCCCCTTTACAGTAGGCACATTCAGATATCAAATCGAACGCGTTTACGTTTCATCTTAAATATCGTTAGATCTAAAAGACACCGCTGTAAAGAATAAGTTACAAGCCGGGACATATAATATGAGGTTACTACAAGGATACCGAAAAGTATGCACGAAGATAGTACAGCAGGAGTGCGCATGTCGATGCGACGGTGTACTGTCTGAGTGCATACTTTTGGGTATTTGCGTAATAACCTTATTATTATTATACTTTCCCCCCAAATGATACATCATGAAAACCCCGAAATCCAAAAAGTTCAGAACAAAATCAGCAAACTTCTTTGTGTGGAGTCCGGTTAAACCCTGTTGGCTGCCATGTTTGTTTTTTATTATTAGATGACGCTTACGCGCGTAATCATTCGATATCTGGAATTCGCAATCTCTAATATGGTAAAATACCCCGTAAAAAACGCAAAATTACGGCACGTTGTAATTTATGGCGTTACGGCGACAGGTGAAAAATAATAAATAATTAAATAAGCCTGTGAGGGTAATATCACGACTTGTTGCCTGTCCAAGGAATTGTAGTCATGACCATAATATTGCTGACTAACAGTCAGAGGGCAGACAACGAACGACCATGTGTTATTTATTTTATCCCAGACTTCATCGAACAGACTTCCCAGCACGCACATTTATATCTGCCATACATTTCTCGCACCCGTTCTCTCACAAAATAACAAAATAACACGTATATTTGAAGTATGCAATATTTTATTCTATGTTTTATAAAAGTGGTACATTACTCAATAGCATACATACATTGTTTGCTGTGGCGGCTTCACCGTACATTATGGCTCTAAATATCAAAACGGTGTATCTTACTTAATTATTTCCATTCTGGCACATTCGCTGTCGACAATTTGTTATGCGCAATAGTTTCAGTGACGTCATTCATCCGATATACACATGTACTATCCGCTTGGCGGGCAATATACCATGTAATATCCATTGTTATTCAGTGTCATGTGACCGAGTCTCAACCTATCACAGCACGCGTAACAACACTGAGATGTGATATCACAGGATTATTGAGTGGAACATATTAACAACGTAGATCTTCGTCGCTGTACTACATATTATGATGCGACTTACGTATTATATACTGCTTTGCATGCTATAAAATACAATAATACAAAATTACTGTTGTATCTGGTATTATGATGTTATATATTATTATAGGTATTTAAATCGGCTTAATAGATGTTGAAAGCCGATTGCATTGATTAAATGTAAACACACATATAGATGTAATCTTAAAGTTTGTGTAGTCGGGCAGACAATGTGACGACCTGATTTACGAGGTACTAAAACGTGCATTGTGCCTCTGATAACTGTAATATTTTCTCAATGTTTTTTCCCTCCAGGTTCACCTGTGGTGGTTACGTGCTTTGTATGGATCAGTAGCTTACATTCAGTATCGGAAATCACAATGGTAAGCTATTAATATGCAATCTAGCCACATGGAATATTTGAATGGCATGGTACAAAGCGCCATCTACAAAACCAATGTTCTTTACTAGAAATAGTATTTGTCAGAATAATGAAGTAATTTCATAGACGATTACAACCTTGACCCTTGAACATCATCCAATATTCAAATGATACCATTTAAATATAAATTACTGAAATTCTGTCATATATTCAAAGTCATTCAATTTGTCAATGTCATATTATTGGCTTACAATAAGTTTTTAATTTATTAAAATCGCTGTAGGATTATGGTGTTACAATGTTCTTGATAGAACGATGGACAGATCCACGACTAGAGTTCAATGGCACGGAAGCAATTGATTTACACTCGCAGTCAAACCTTATTGATAATATCTGGACACCCGATCTCTACTTTGTAAATGAGAAAGAGGGGCGGTTCCATACAGTTACAGTAGATAATAAACAGATACGCATTTATCCCAATGGAACAATCATATATGATATAAGGTGAGCTGAATTATTATGAACGGGAAGCAGCTGATTGACTAAGGCCACTGGGAAGGTAGACGTTTGACGCTTGGGATACATGTGTCGTAATTGTGGTTGTCTCTGTTCTTTTTTTTTTAATTCTCAGGAAAGCAGTGAAACTATGAAAATCATTAAGTGCGTACATGTGCAAAATGTACAAATTAGGGAAATTAGGTCTTGTCTTGGATGTAATGTACACCATTGTTTACTGCGAGCTATTCATTTCAAACCGGCATATATCATAATGCTGGAATAGATAATGTACTGTAGAGTCGGAGAGTATGAACCCATAAACTGATTATATTTTAAAGAATATGATATGGTCAAAATAAAGCGCATAATAGAATAATGCTAATTTAATCGATACAAAATTATTCGTCTTGAAGAATAAACTGTTGTTGAACTATTCCAATTTACATCTTATTCTACGTATGTTCTTTTATTAATTATTTAGAGTGAGTGTAACATTGTCATGCAGTATGCATCTTCACAAGTTTCCAATGGATAAACAAAGCTGTGGAATGCAAATAGAAACGTGTAAGTTAGATTCGGTGTATACTCAATTTATTACCATTCGAATCTTGTGTTAGCTTTCGTATTTGGACATACTGTGATGTTGTGGTCTATTTGTTTTGTTCTTCCTGTAGTTGGTTATACCACAAAAGATGTGATCATACAGTGGGATGAAACTAACCCGGTGTATGTTGCTAAGGATTTAGAATTGCCACAGTTTTCACTTGGAATCACCAACGTGTCCAGGTGTTATACAAACTACCCCCTAGGTAAGTGTCTCTATGGTTTTATTCAGTAAGCTGGTGTCGTTTCATAGTATCAATACAACAATCTCTTATAAGTCGCGTCCCCTAGCAAAGAAGAGTTCATGTAACGTCAATAATATGAATGTAAGTTGTTAAAATAAACAACTCTGTTTGGTTTTATAACCTTTCGTCAAATGAAGTGTGACAAAAACTATATGTTTATTGACAGACAACGCCTGACAAAACAATATCAGCGTTGTGAACGACCTCCAACAATCATACGTAACAAATAAGCTAAGACATGATAGTATATCGTTACATTTTGGTCCTAGTTAAGAACAGTTTAATTGCAAATTATGAGTTCATATAACTAGCAAGCTGATATATTTACTGTAACTTTTATTTGAAAGACGAATGACATATCTTCGGTCTTAAATTGATGAAAGTGGCGCCATTTAATACCCAGCACATATGTATTCCTGTCTGCTTTTTGCAATATTTGCAACGCTGGATAAACATAAATGGCAAGTTTATAATTGAATAATTGTACAATATAAACAAATTTATGTGTGTATATTTTATGTATATATTGCGGATGATTGTAGAGAATGCAACTTCCAAAAACATAAAGAAAATAAGTTATAGATATCTTTTTTAATTATAGAACAATCCCGAAACAGAACTTACTGTTCAAACATGTTCAGTACATCAGTATTTGTTGTTAGGTTTCACGTCACAATGCCTCAAAGTAAATGATGATTTTGATGATGATGCATAAACGTCATGCTACCCTACTTCAGAATAATGTCAACGAACTATTATAACGATATAATTACCTTCCGTCAGTGTAATGGTTTAGTATACACAAAGGCGATATTAAGTTAGCGGAACGACATTGGGAAGATAGTTATCTGTGTTCTCCCTTGGCAATATATGTGAATGGATTTTAAAGGATGAAAGCACGATGTATTTTAATGTTTAGCAATAAGCCTCGTAATAATAATAAGGATAGTTAGTTAACATTAAAACAGATGATTAGAATATCTTAATTTTTATCATGTCATACTGTTTTAAAAAGCTAAAAATCCAGTCCAATTCAATGCACTTGAATACGAATATTTTTGACGGTTGTGCTCTGACGTGATCACGAGATCAAATCCAGAGTTCCATGCTGTAATTTATGTATCCTCGTTTTGCTTGTGATTCTATAAAACGCAATCGTATAGCGAGGAAAACTCATCATGAAATCATGTTTTGAGTTCATTTATTCTGTATAATATCAAGGATCAATGTAAATCGTATAGTTATGTCATTGGTACGCCAAACAGTGTTCATGCTATTGAATCACTAAGCACACTTACTTTAATCAATGGCTACTGCTTGATTCAGGCTTATTCCCACACTACTCCCTTCAGGTCACTGCGTATTACATAATTTTAATCGTCAAACAATTAAAATAAACGCATGAAAAAAGAAAACATATTGGTATAATTAACCATAATGCATCGGAACAGGCCATTCAGTAACTTGTACGGACTAAATTTGCAAAATCACAGATCGATCTTGAATATACTTTGATACATCGAGGTATAATGACTATTATATTACAGCATTGTCAATATCAGTGAATTTTATAACTTCATTGTTTCAGAATATTCGCAATAATGTATCGCATTATTGAGCTTCAATGGATATGAATACAATATTGTTTTATGTAACGAGTAAAGTAAGGAGAAGGTGTTTAAAAAGAAAAGAAATTCTGAGTTTACAAGTATTCAATACTGAAAATGTCATCAAATATAATAGTACATTGCCAATAATATATCTGATTACAAAATTTAAACAAGAACATTTTTGATATAAACTATTTCAATCACTGCGCACTTATGTGCGTACCATATGGTATAGAAGACAGTAAGAGTACTATTAGGTTATTACGAGGATAACGACAATTATGAAGACAGAACAGCGGGAGTATCGACCGATGCGCAGCGGAGGTCGATGCGACTGCTTACTCTCTTATTATTATACATCTTTTCCTCCTAAGGATACATCATGGGAATGACAAAATACAAAATGTTTAGAACATATTGAGCGAACTTCTTTGTATGGAGTCCGGTCAAACCCTGGGGCTGCCTTGTTTGTTTTCATTATTAGAGGACACTTACGCGCGTAATCGTTCCATATTTGCAATTCGCATTTCTTAATATGGTATGATGAAAATACCCTGTAAAATACCGCAAAATTACGGCACGCTGTAACTTATGGCGTTACGGTGACAGATGTACAATAATAATAATAAGGAATAAGCTTTGATCAGTAGCATATATATTAGTGACAGAAAACATGTGTAATATAATGGTCGCTATTTGTCATTCGTCCCAATAAATCAGCGGAATATCAGAACTTTATTTATATTATTTATAATTACTAATTTAAACAGCAACGGTATATACCTGGTAGAGACAATTGTCGTTTTTTCAAAAAAGAAATAATGTCAATAGTCTAAAAGGTAGACAAATCATTTTCTAAAAATAAACATAATATTGGTATATCATATTGTGACTGAACACAATTGTTTGATATGATCGGACATTTTCGTTAGTGGTCGCCATACTTGCAATATCAGATGCATGAAAATTTTGTCGGTTTTCTTTACAAGTTCAGAGAGAAAATGTCAGTAACCATGATTGAAACAAACCTGAAGTACGTGGACAAGTTGATGTTGAGAAAATTAAACAGTGTATCAGTTAAACTCGTTCAGTTATATTTGAATTACGATTCCTATATCTATATTGTAAAAAATAGGGCGATATCGAAATTTATTGCACTGTCAGAATTGCCACGCACCCACAAAATGCGATCGATATAACCTGCGCTACAAGTCGTTCATTACTCCCGATTGTGCCCCCGTGCACAATTTGCAGCCGTGACATAATGGAAAATGAATTAACCATGATTCATTTATAACTGTTTTATATATTGCGTTTATTGGTCCGCAAACGCTAAGGCAACGCACCCAACTGGGATTAAATGGTATTACGAGTGGTAATATACGATGTTTGCTATTAACTGGTTTGATGTGAGCGCATAAGGCAAACCACTTAAGTACAGTAGTATTCTGAAGCTGGATATTAGTAATGAAGCAAAAGATTATATAACCATATATTGATCCTTTCAATGAAGCCATATATATTTCAATTAGCTTAGATGCGTATCATTTGTCTGAATGCAATTGTCTTGCAATTACATCTGTATATATTTGATTGTAAAATAAATATACGTGTTGGTATTTTTACAATTCTAAGTAAAGCTTTTAATTGTTGTGTCCTATAATAATAAATCAAGTCAGGTTCAAGTTCTTACTCGACTACCCGCCGATATAAAATAACATCAATTTCATAATGTGTGAATAGCCAAATCACTGAGGCAATGTCGTGATTATAATGTAAATTGGTACGAGTGGAAATAACTGAGTTTGACAGGTTAAGTTGATCTGATAACATGAACTACCATACAAAGCCACATTGTGATTTATTTGTGAAATATTTATCTATTCAAACATATTGTTTATGGTAGTAACGATCCGAACAATGTACCAGCACACTTCTATTATGTATTTGTGCTACCCAACAAATGGGGAACTGTCGTTACATGATATGATACGGTCATTTGCGTCATAATATCACACTACCACCATGAAAATTGATTTATATTTTACGATTTATATTCTTTTCTATTCGCTTCAATTTGATTAAAGCTTATCACTGTGTGCGTCTATCAGTAGTATAAATTTAGGTTTCATAACTCTAATTCGTGATTATTCATTCTGGATTACTTATTAAGTTAGTATCAAACATCAATGAATTAAATTATATAAGTTCATCTATAATCTAATGAGCAAAGACAACAAAACGTTCACTGACGTTGAAGATGGGGACGAACAATAAAACACTTTCTACAAATCCGCTACTGTAAACCACTGTAGTTAACTGTCGCAGGTATATTTTTAAAGAACATGAACAAAAACGTATATTGTTTAATATCGACCAAATTATGATTTATCTTGAAACTAACATTGTTGCGTTTGCAGGACCCGAACCAGTATTCGTTATATAAACATCATAATTACCTATACGCTTGCGCTGTGATTATATATACCAAAATAAACAGTGAACATGTATGTTAGATAATTCAAGTGTTTCATAAAGTCAAGAATACTTCTGAATACTGCTACTGAAAAAAATGCGTTATCATGACATGATAAATCATAGTCAAATGTATTCATGCAGTATCGAACAGCATTATTATGAGGTCATTACGAGAACAACGCAAAGTACGTACAAATGCAGTACGGCGTTCGCAGCGACCAACGTGTAGCAGAGGTCGGTTCGTCCCAGTACTGCCTGAGAGCATACTTTGCAGTATTCCCATGATGTCTTTAATACTTTACATTTTTCCCGCTAATAGTAAGATTTTAATGAGAGAATATGGCTCGATATAATAAACGAACATGTTTCGCGCTGTGTAGACGTTTGCGTTCAGTGATTCTATTTCCGTCCAATATAAACAAAGAAGGTGATCCAGTTTGACGTCAATAACCAATAATGCGTTAATTTTGGTGACGTAGTTTACCCTATATAAGGGAAAATTCAAACGTTGTGATACGATTTAGAACGAGTGCTGACAGAGCGTCAAATTCTATTATTTTCGGTGTCAGATATATAATAATACTTGTTGTTCATTTCTTTAGGAGATTATGGCTGCCTGCAGATTGTGTTTCCATTGCATCGTGAACTAACTTACTACATATTGGAAACATATGCACCCTCAGCGCTCCTAGTGATTCTATCTTGGGTGTCATTTTGGATGCACATTGATGCCACACCTGCACGTGCAAGTCTTGGAATCACCACCGTACTAACGTTAACTACGCTTAGCTCTGGTGCTCGAGATGCATTGCCCAAGGTCTCATATACTAAAGTATGTTAACGGTATTATTTATATGTGGTATACATTTACTTTAGAATTGATTTAAAACTTATTAACTTACTGCACAGAAAAACAAATAGGTTCAATAGCAGTATCACATTGAACTCGGTGAAGAGCCTACTAATATGTCATATTAGTATCGCAGTGCGCATGCGCTATAAGCTCACTCCAAGTGATAAATGCGGGAAATGTTCAATACTGTTCCCGGATTGTCGCGATGTCCCCGAGCTTCTGAATAGGCTGTTTTTGTATCGCATAAATACTGAATACATATAGCCAAAACAATATCGAACGCAATAACACGATCTCATGGCTACGGTAGTTGATTATAAGTTTATTCATTCTAAGACGGCGGCACGGAATTTTGTATGGGGGCGGGATCTGCACCGAATGCGCGACCTTACTGACGGGTCCGGGGGCATGCTACTCCGGGAAAATCTGGACCCCCTTAAACGATATTTCCTCATTTTGAGGAACAAGACAGGCATTTCATTTCAACTGTGTCGCATCGACACAAATACACAAGGGATTTCAGCTCGATTTGCGGGGGGTGGGGTAGTGGCGACTCCCCAAAATTTTCGCCGCCGCCACTGTACAATATAACATCATAATGTTTTCAGTTACCCTTATTATTTTTTGCAGACAGAACCGTAATTCAGACATGACTTGATAATAATGTTTAAATGGGTTAAATATCATTAGAATATTCTCGATTATAGTATAATGTAATTATATTAGCAGTTTTAGAATTTATAGTGTTATTGCTTTCACTAATGGAGACAACGCTTCATACCTATTGTTTGTACTATGGTTGTTTGATCGCACAGCCCATTAAATTCTAAGTAATTTATAAATTGGACGGAGCATTGGGGATTGAGAACAGTACTATCTGACCTACATAAAAGCTTATAAAACCATATAACGATTACTATATAATCAGAATTCGAAACGGTGAATTGTTTGATAGAAATATTCTGTATTACGCAATTAATTGAACAATATAAATTTGACATCGTCGTTAGTTATTTACTCAAACTAATAATATCTTTGTCAATCACCCATCAGCCTGTCAAAACATTTAGTCGTGAGAAAGAAAGCCCAATTTATTTTATTTTGTAATAAGCGAATGCATAATATCTGCTTAATTATGTTCTTTGTTATTTACTTTTTAGGCTATTGATGTCTGGATGGCTGGATGCTCATTGTTTGTGTTCGCTGCCTTAATTGAGTTTGCAACAGTCAATTTTCTGCACCGTACAGCAGAAAGATCAGAGTTAGCAATGGTAAAGAAACGACTAGTGAGTACGCTACGCTGCTTATACTGTTAGTTCATTATATATAGTTTGGTTGCCTATATTATACATAGTTTGGTTATTATATTGATCACCGGCGGGTTTCTGGTACACGTGATTCTCGATTAACGTCAGTCATATAGCTGCGTTCTCACGATGATTCGCACAGTCACCGTCTTGTGCACGAATGAATTCCGCGGTGTTTCAAGCCAAACATTCACCTGACATGCAGTGGTGTGATATTTAATTATTGCAAAAGTATTGATAGGCTTTGGGCAAAACAAAATTGACACGTGATACTGAAAGGAGTGTTGTTGTTAGAGTGGCGATTCGTGTGTGCCTGTAGTGGGCGCCCTACTACATATGCAGGCAATTCAAGTTAGCATGTTTTGGTGAGAACTTCACATAATCTAGCCTCGTAATGGTATGTTAATGCCGACGAGTGGACCGTGCAATATTTACCATATCAAACTCAGTTTGAACAAATTTAGACAACATAGTTCTTTTATAGATAGAAAGCGACACGAATTACGAATTGGTGCAACTAGATACCATAGCTAATTTGTAGTGACCTTGTATGCTGCTTGTTATTGAAATAGAATTAAAGGTTTTCTACTTCTCGACCATTATGGCGGACATCCCTGTTGTCACGAAGCGACTGAATCGTAATTATTAGAAACGTATTTCATGTTATACACAAGATATATAATTAGGTATTCAAACAGCCCAGTGTCAGAGGTAGGATTAATAGCTCAGAGTTAGACGAATTTAACACGAAGCGTACACATATCTGAAAGTGGGTCGTGCCTCATGCCACAGATGGAATTTACTGGATGAGCGTCTAGTTGATGAATGCACAGGTGTTGTGGGCCAATTGAATTTTAAGTAACGAATAGGTAGTAAAAGCCGCGTTAACACTGCACTGAGTGATAACTTCGGACACGATAACCATACCAAGCATACATTTTGTTGCATCTAGTAAACTATGATTTCATTTATTTCACGTGTGGCGTCATATGTATTATGAATACAACAGAACAATACATAATGTAATGTTTAAAATGTTTTTTTGTTTCACTAAACACATAATTTACCCATTGATTGGACAATGTTTTTCAAGTGTACAAAGACTACAATACTATGTGATTTTATTTAATGTACGAACCTTAAGATATTGTCTCATATTTTATGTTTTATTCATTAACGTATATATATATATATATATATACTGAATTGAAGTTAACATCGGGGCAACGTCAAATACAGACGTCGTATTAACATAGGATATTATTGAAACTCGACTATTTTCACTAGAATGTACCGTCCTGAATTAAACGTCGACGAAGCGACGTCGTTATGATGGTGGTTATTTTGTATTAACAAAGATGAAGGTTGTCATACTTCGAAACAAAATAGATTTTGAGACGTCAAATAGTCGTCGTAATTTAACTTTCTATTGATATTCGCTGTACATTGTTCGGTGTCGCAATTTAATATCGACTTATTATTAACTAACTATATGACGATAGGTGTTTTCTGGGACATTATTGACAACTCTAATAACCATTCACCGTCAACAACATATATAAGTGTATGTTTAGATATTTTGTTCAAGATATTGTTACGAGATGAACAAAATATACAAAACCAGTGTAAATTGCTTGTGATATTGGAAAGGCACAGACTATAAATATCCATCTCGATAGCTATCTAGTGCTGTGTTTAAGATATACCGTCAATATGGCCTGTCAAAGTCTTATAATGTGTGTCATGTATTTTTTGTAGCAACTGTTATAGAATTGGAAAGCATTTATTTGACTATGTGAATAGCATCCCCCTTGACAATGTGATCATTATAGCATATCCATGCTACGCTACCGCCGATGAAATACACAGATGCGCAAATATCGCCAATATTTGGAAAGAACATACAGAGAGTCAAATAACCATTTCGTTTATAATAGCAAACTGTGTCATGCAGTTTCCAGGAATACAATGTTGATTTTGGTTATATACGTTTGAGTTTTATCTGCTGGGACAACAGCATGGGTCAACACATGTCACACTATTTGCACACAGTCACTCGAACACATTTCAGTTAATGTATGTTTGCACGTTCAATCTATTTTCCCTTTCCTTGGAGTGTTCGCATTATAGTTTACTTTGCCTGTTATTCCATGGCGCAATAAAACGTTGTTTTCTTTTCTTGGCTTGAAATTATACACAAATTTAATTAATAAAAAAAATCAACATAGGTGGCTACGCCCAGCTAATACACTTTGCACCCAATGCAACAAATTTCAGCAATAAATCACAGAATGTATTTATTATTATTTTTTGTTTATTTATTCTAGGAAATGCGTGACCAATACAACAGTAAAAAGAAGGCATATTCAGAGTCAGTCCGTGACGTTAGACTATCCCTTATTGGCGAACGACTGGCATTAAATGGCGATTCGTGCAATAGCCATACTGCTAATATATACATCAGTGATGATTACATGGAAATGAGGGCGAGTTACCATCGACGGAAAGCACAAAGAATGGATAAATTGGCCAGGGTTGTGTTTCCAACAGCGTTCCTGTTGTTCAACGCAGCGTATTGGGCTATTTATCTTGGTATTAAATAAGCGAGAACTTTATATTTTCTATTTAACTATGAAAATCAGATTCGGCGAACACTTTTTTGATAGTTTTATCAAAGATATTTTCTAACAGAAGGCCCTTTGTAAAATGTGGTGTGATTACCACAATTTGTCTTACTGGTATTTATGTGCGTGTATACCAGTGTGTAAAGTTAATGATGCTAGATACCAGGATATATTATTTACACAACTAACACAATCCACTGTAAATTAAGTGATTCATAATAAGTGTGCATTAATAAGTAAAATAATCTGTTAACCACACCGGATCAAAGAAGTGAACCACAATTCTTGTCACCCACCGTTCAAGTTAGGTCAATTAGTTTCTAGAATAAAATTAAATGCGGAATTAATATCACTTACTTGCTATTCACTCAATTAAACATCATACTATTCATCAGAGGAGGTAATTTGTTTTTTTATAACAATGTTGATATTTTGTCTGTCATTCTCAATGTCAGTTACTTGTATGACAACCTTTCTAATAAGTGTGGTGCATTGGCATGGATTGATAATAATAATTTCAAGACGCCGGGAAGCAAAGTGTGTCAAGAAACACTGTTGGGTTTACCTGTCTGTATTAAATGTAGACCGTAGTTTCATGTACAGTTTTGAATATTTATATTGTGATATAGTGCATTATAAAGTATATAGAAATAAATATATTACTATAATTGTAAATCTATTTTGTTTTGAATTTCATCATGGCTTAATATTATGACAGAGCATCTTGATATGAGTTGTCATCTCTCGAAAAAAAACATATCTCGACATTATCATCATCTCACATTATAAGTAGTATATCATATGATAATATCCTTTTTTTTAAATACACTAAAGCCTGTAATATCTCTCAAACTTCACACAATGTGTCATGAAAACATGAATTTATATTATTTTTTTTTGCCCGTGAGTGGCATATTCTAGTATAGGCGAATTTGCGTCACATGTTTAGCAGGGGGTGTTCTTCTGACAGGAACCAGTTGTTTATAATTTGCGAGGGATCTACCATGATGGTTTCCGTGGACACATATTTCTCCATCACTGCAAAATAATTATTGTAAATGTGAGTAATATACAGTTTTAGTGGGTGTTTGCGCTATCAAAGTGTATCATAGTTCCGTATTTTATTTAGTACGTATTATTATATTTCCTAATATATATTACACATATACCATGTAGCCACCAGACGAGTTAATTATTTTTATGCGTTGTCGAATATATGTTATATAACTGTTATTATGTTTATGTACGAGTGCGTTTTAATTAACGTTCAGGGTTCATATGCTTACTCGTTGATAATTTCCATTAAATTAATCATATTTTCTTTAAACATGTGTGTTTCTTTAGAGACAGTTATGGGCGCTATGTTATTGTTGTCTCTCTTTATTGGTCTATCTCTTATTATCCAATGCGAGTACTACGCGGCCGTAGCCCAGGGTCAACCAGGTTTTGTCAGACACAAGCACCTGTGGACCATATCACAAATTCCCAATGTAACATCCACAATGAATGAAATCCCGATCAGTGGCTTCTTACTTTCCCTTGTGTGTGCGGCACATTCGTCCATTGACAGGGGTCGACCACTCTAGGTGATCAACCCAGGGTAAGATATAAACTCGGGTTCGTTGTAACAACTCATACTTCGGCGGTGATTGCTCTTCTGTGGTTTAGAAGTGATATAACGGAATAAACAGGCTCATGCTCAAAGCTTTAAGACACGTATGACATAGATTCATATCAAGAATGAACTCTCCTTTCCATACTCTTGGATGAAGTGTTTCAATGTACATCCAGGAAGTTGTCGTCGTCTCATTTGAGTGAACAGGGGTATTGTTCATCGGTTATTTCAATTGAATGGTCATGGCAATTTTACATTTTGACTGTTAATGGGAACTAGTCGGTCATCTTTGACGGTGGCAACAAATTATGGAAACGCTTTCATACATGTTATTTTCCGTCGTTGCACTCCAATTAAAAGGCCAGCAGCCATGTGCATGTTTCACAATGACGTGTCTTGGGATGGAAGTTATTATTATATACTAGGATACGCTGGTGTTGTTCTTGTATGCGCTCCGGCTTTACCCTTTACAGTTCGCCTGGATACTGTTTAACGAATGATCAATCATTTTTCCATTTGTAAATTTATTCTACCCAATTATTTTATATGAGTTGATTTAAACTATAGCAACTATATAGCAACTACTCTACTTTGTTCGTATTGTCAGAGATTCGGGCTTGTGCATTTCCACCTAGACGTTGTGAGGGCGTAGTCATTATATCAGTTGTATAGCTCAGTATTTACAGCGTCCGCTTGTAGTGACGAGACTGTTCGCCGTGTGCGTGAGTTCGAATCCTTTGTTGTCATGTGCATGTTCGTTAGCCTGTCCTTTATTTATCTATTGTGTACTTCAATTTTGTAGGAATATCAAATTACAATTTATATTCAGAATAATCAGCGCTAGTCAATATTTAGTTGGAATATCAAACGCACTACGACGAAGCTTAAATAATACGATCAGCATAATCTATCTATTGCTTAGTCAAAATAAATAAAAAGTACGCCACCACATTATTACCATAATGCTTTATAACACATGTTACAATTATGATAAATATCAAATATTCTTCAAAATAAGGAAGTATTGAGGAAGTTCATCGATCATTTTAAGTTTTTAAGTGTGTTTTTTGCGGAAATACGTGGCCAATATGAGATACATTTAGTAATATAATTGTCATTGAACTTATAGTAGCCGGTAACATAGGAAGTACAAATACATCAACTAATAATTCAACCGTCTTAGGTATATCCGTTTTAGGCCACTGTTACTGGCGGGGGTATTCAGTCTACTATTGCGATAACGATCTTTAATACGTCTTTAAAAAGTCGGCCGGCAGTTGGGATACACACCAACAATAAAAGATCCTCATAAATACAAGTTCATAGTACTGTGTGACTTTTGGAACATTGGCGCTGCTATCAATTCAATTACTTGGTGTTTATGGCAATATTATACAAACCATGACTCATAAGAGATGTATCCATGCATAACGTGCGTGGGATAAGTACTTAAATGTTAGACATATGTTGGAATAAATATAAAGACCACCCGAGTGAATATGATTTATAACATGAAAACGTCGACCTTCTCATTCCAAGTGAAAAATAATATAATAACATATCGTCGTAAATGAAATTTAATTGATGTTGATTTGCCCAAAGGTTGGCAATGTTGGATATACAACATCTTTCTCAACACAAAATTTTAGTGTAATTCCATATAAATATATGTATATATCTCATACAGCAATTAAACCATCAGGAGACAACAATGAGGAACCCTGAACGGTAGCGTTATTGGACGCAAAGGTGAGGTAACCACATTTTTACAAAATTAAAAAATGTTATTTACTTATTTTTTAAATCAAATATTATGCCGCATCATTCAAGACTAGTTCCTGCTAACATTAATTCCATTAATAAACCTAATGATTGCTTATTTTCATGGTATCTTATTAAATATTTTTTTTTTTTTTGCAAAATAGTGAGAATGTACAGCCCACTGTCGTGCAAGTGATAATACAATACATGCGACTAATTTATCGATATTTACTATATAGAGGCCGCTATGTGAGTCACGAGGCATGTTTGTCATCACTACTGCACACAATTGATTGGTCACGTATACTCCGTCATCTTACGTGACATACTGGGTTGACTTGAATATTTCATTAACCGTTTATTACGATCAAAATAAATTTCGAGTCCATCAATTTATATTTCGACTAAAGGTATTAAACTATTATTAATGCTATTATATGCTTATTATATACGTCCATAAAAACCAAGTATGTTCAGATATCATAGTATAATTGCCAAGTAGTTGCATTGATGATGTAATAAGTACGGAACTATCTTACTCCATACAATATTGGCAATTGTGCAAATGTAATGCATTTGAGTAGAACCGGATACATCGCATGATACGCATATTATTTGTTAAAAATGCATAAAATTAAATATACAAAATATGATTTCCAAGTCTTAGAAACACATGCGAACGTAATAAAATCTGTTCTCTGTCTGCTCTAAAACAATAACAGTTATAAACCTGGAACAAAATTGGAGTGAGGTTATCCAGCAGATAGAGCAATGTATAAAGAACTAGCGCCCTCAGCGGTCAGGATAATTCATTTATGACAAATCGGGAAGCATGTTGTATACCGCATGCTTCCCGACTCGTCTGTTTTCTTACAATTCACAGTTCACCAGACTATCTAGAGTGGGATAATACAGTTGTTTGTATCTCTGAGAAAAGATCGACACACAAAATGTTTGAAATAAAGTATAATCTGGCACATGTTAAAATAGTCGGTTTAGTTTCAGACAAAATGTTGAAAAATGTTTGAAATAAACTATAATCTGGAACAAATTAAAGTAGTCAGTTTAATTTCACACAAAATTTAGGAAAATATTTGTAATAAACTATAATGTGGAACATGTTGAAGTAGTCAGTTTAATTTCACACAAAATGTAGAAAAATGTTTGAAATAAACTATAATCTGGAACATATTGAAGTGGTCAGTTTAATTTCACACAAAATGTTGAAACATGTTTGTAATAAACTATAATCTGAAACATGTTGAAGTAGTCAGTTTAATTTCACACAAAATGTAGAAAAATGTTTGTAATAAACTATAATTTCATACAAACTGTTAAAAGTCTTTTGAAATAAACTATAATCTTGAACATGTTGAAGTTGTCAGTTTAATTTCCCACAAAATGTAGAAAATATTTTGTAATAAACTACAATGTGGAACATATTAGTCAGTTAAATTTCACAGAAAAAGTAGAAAAATGTTTGAAAAAAACTATAATCTGGAACATATTGAAGTGGTCAGTTTAATTTTACATAAAAAGTTGAAACATGCTTGCAATAAACTATAATCTGCAACATGTTGAAGTAGTCAGTT